CGTCTCCCCTCCGGTCAGCCGGGGGACTTTCTTCCCACCTTGGAGCTGGGATAATGTCTGTGCCCGTCGCCGTGCTCTTCGACGCGGCGGGGAGGGGGAAAAAAACGGAGTTAAATCAATTTGGGCACATGTTGACTTTCCAGTTGAGAAAAACTGTCCCATAATGATGGATTGCATGTAGGGAGTGAGGAAGGATGGGGCTGGAGTAGGTTTTTAGTTGATCCAAGCTACTCCTGGAGTAGCCGAGGAGTAAATCTCGCTGTTCCTTGAAGTATTTCGGTTAAAGGTGGAACTTGCAGCTCTTGGTTTGCTTTGGCCGCTCCCAAAGCTCCTTTGGAAGCAGATCTTTGGGAATGAGGACACAGTGGTCACCTCCAGCCCAAGTGGGTGACGGAATCTTTGCTAAATGCTGTTGGTTTTTTTTATTCTCTTAAAACATTTGTGTAATTCCAAATTCCAAAAGAAACAGATGGCTCGAGGGGCTCCCCGGCATCGGGGGTTCTCCCATGTCCAAAGATCTCCAGTTCCCCCACTGCTGGGAGCTGAACCCTCAGAGCTCTTGTCGCCAGATTTGCTGTCCCACCCCCCACCACAGGTCCCACTCTGGGTGAAACATCTGGCGACTGGGACAAAAATAATCCTAAAAATCCGTAGGGCGGGGTTCCGTTGGCTCACCTGCCGCCACGTCTCCCGCAGGTACGACTCGTACGAATCCTACGACTCCAGGTCTTCCCTGAACGACCGCGACATGTACCGCTCCGGCTACGACTACAACGAGTCGGAGCACGACAACGAGAACGCCTACGAGGGTCCCTACGACAGCTTCTACGGGAGCCGGCGGGAGCCATTCCAGAACCGGGCGCGGGATAACTTCGGCCAGCGCGGGCAGAACTGGGGGAGAGACGGACGCAATCACAGACCCATGGCGTCATCCTACCCCGGGCGCGCGGGCGGACAGTGGAACGAGGCTCCGCAGTCGATGGGAGCGCGGGGTCCCCACGGCTCCTCCAGGCTCCCTTCCCTCTTCTCCCACAACATCATCCCAGAACTCGGCATGTTCCAGGGAATGCGAGGCTTTTCGGGAAACATGCGTTACGGAGGAGGAATGATGAAACAACGCATGAGGAGAAACTGGAAAATGTGGGACTCGGATTTTAAAGTAAGTAGAATCATGGAAGGGTTTGGGTTGGGAGGGACCTCAAAGATCATCCAGTTCCCCCCCCCTGCCATGGG